CACGGTGATGATAGAACACGGTGTCTTGTAAAAGCATTTAAATACTTAAACATTTCTTTCATCTTTTAGACAAAAGCTTAGCACAAATAATAGGTTGCTAAGAAAATGAATTTTAAAAAAGAATTTAGTAATGCTATCAAATAAAAATAAAGTGATCAAATTATGAAAATAAAGTCATATTATCTTAACCATAAGATGGTACGGGAGTAAATTTGTATTACTACGAGGATAAAAAGTCAAATATTACAACTTTATTCTCACATTATTTTGATTTCATTCTCATAGGACTTTGTTCTCGTAGTACTACGGCATTATTCCAATAATATGAGTTTATGGTCATAATATGACTATTTCTCATAACCAGGTGTTGGTAACCACCCGACTAATCCATACATGAAAAGAAACCACAACTAACAAGTTCAGAAATTAAGTTATGTGTAGTAACGCCTGGTGAAAATTTCATGTTAATATCACTTCTAGAAATATGTTAACTGTTTGACCCACTGCATAGCTAAATATCATCAGCATAACAGTGAACATTTATATATTACTATATATATGTTTTTTCCACACATATATAGTAAAATGACTTGGCCCAATTTAAATTATAATCTCATTTACTGGCATCAGATTTAGCATGCTGGCCATACTAAAATGATAAAATTTGAAATGGTAAAGTAATTGAACACACGTTGGTGCTGCAAAGATGGAGGCGAACTGAGCAAATTAAATCAACCCCCGGTTGTACCGAGTTGTTCTCATAACATTAACTTTATACAGTCCACTCAAAACTCTGCTGCGCCTGGAATCTCCCTAAATTTGTCTCTTGGATATAATTTAGTCAAATAAAGCCAGAGTGATCCGAGACATTCTGTGAGTCCTCGACGCGATGGAACAAATACTTCATTGACCCTTAACAAAACAAAACAAAAACTCTCAACTGCTACCAGCACACAGGTGGAACGACCACCCATGCGAAGACATTTCTGGGAAGGTTTTCTGACCAGAGGAAAAACCATCATCATTGTCATCATCCCCTGCTGCTCGCCAGGCTACTGTGTGACTTGACTGCTGTGGAGGGAATTGAAGGTCAGGGTGCTGCTCGATCTCAGCTGCCATTCGCTTGGCAAGATCGTCTGACTCACTGCCTAGAGCTTTTCGTGGGTGTCCAGGGAGCTGGGGGCTGGTAAATAGTTGTGTAATTTCAAACTTCCATAATAAAAACACATCCAGACCACAACTTTTAATGAAATAGCTGAGGAAACTATTGAGACAGCAGGACTGGAGTGGAGAGACTGTTATTTGTTGCCAAGGCGTTGTCAACACCAGACAGTCTGGTGTGTTTGCGGCTCTGTTTTACAAGGCTTCTTTGCTCTGGCATTGGCGGAAGTGTCTCCCCTTGCTGCGCTTACCAGGTGCTGGAGCGTCATGGGGGAAATACACTAGTCTGTTTCATGACTTGTTATGGATGTCATGCCAGATGGAGAGTCGGGGTCTGGGGTTCTGCTCCTCACAGGACAGACGGATGGATTGGGACGTGCCGTTAACTCAGACCCACTTTTAAAACTGAGGTCAGATATTTTGTGAAACCATGAGTAATTTCTTCCCACAAAGTATCCAATATATATTTTTTAATTAGTTGGATTGTGTGTTTTTTTTTTTTTTACATTTTCAAGCATAAATGGCACTGTATAAACAACTCGCCATCCTTCAGATGTTAAGTTTCTAAGACAAAAATAAAAAAACACATCAAATGTGGAGATGATCTTTTTTTCTTGACAGTACTAGACATAAACTGGTGTCTAGTATCAGCTGGATGAATGGAAAGCTCCTGAATTTTTATGCGTTTATTCACCTTACGCAACAAAGTGGAGTGCCTCTTGGTTCTTTTTTAGGGTGAGACTGTTTTAAAATCAAATCTGGCAACAAACTACGACAATCAGCATGTCTGTCCATTGTCCATCACAGATCCATCTAAACGGGATGTACAACAAGAATATCGGAATGTAATCCATTCAGTAAATGTGGCCAAATGATATCCAAGAGGATCACGGTGATGGCTGCTGGGGGGTTTGAAAGGCTTCAACATCCGCAATGTTGCCTTCAACTCTGCAGATACTGAAGACAGCTAGAGATGCCTTTGGGATCCCACAGGCAATCAGAAACCTTGATGAGGCTTTAAGGAATTGCCTAAGACCCTATGAAATATCTATGAAGAGGAAAGCAGGTCCTGGGAAGACGACCAGATGGTTAAAAAAATCCTTCGCCCTCCTACTCCTCAGATGAACTGCAGGAATATGAATACAATCAAAACAAAAAGTAAAAGCCACTGATATTAAGACGAGAAAATGTCTCACAATGCATGCAGGTTATTCATCTAAAGTCCAGTACCCTTAGATTGTTCACTTATGGTTGCGTTTCACTAGAACCTAGCAGTGTAGCTTGACTCAGTTCAGCTGTACTCAACAGAGTTTGAGTAGTTTTCCATTACAATTGTGTAACAGCTGTTGTGGGTGGGGGTCGTCTTAGAGTTGGGCGGCCCCAGAGTCTGAAAAGTAGCATCACAAGATCTGTACAACACAACCCAACAAGCTATGTTGAACATCCTACTCAGTCTGTGGTTTTTTTGAGAATTACTGGCTGTTGTGAGATTTTACAAATGGCAGGTTGGACGTAAGGGTGTCGCTCTCATGATGCAACCAGTGACTGCATGACCTAGACAATCGGTGACCGACAGTCTTCTGACTTCTTGTTTTCATCCCAAACAAGCAGGCTTGGAGTCTAAGCAAAGTAGGTTCTAAAACCGACGCCTACATTTGTATGTGGACCAGAGATCAATTAGACCTTCCAAATGAACTGGACTTCTTAGGCAAACTAACTAGAATTCGATTAAAGCGGACTAAACAAGGCTGGTGAGAATGCACTTTTAGTTGACAATTGAATTTGGTAAATAAGAGCCTTAGTATTTAACTACATAAAACGTAGCTTGTTTTATATTGAATTTATGACCAGTTACATGGTCACAGTTTAATTCAGCAGCTGAGCGGCTAATATTATGTTGGAATAAAGTACCTGTTCTTTTGTGTAAAGTCGCTACAGTATTTCTTTACCATCTTCCTATTTCGTAATCAGGTCACTTTGATTTAAAGTGCTGGTCTCTGAAGAATGATGAAGCTTTTTTAGTCTTTTCTCTAACTCAGCAACATGGGGTCAGAATTTCTGACTTAAATTGCGATTAAACCAAGCCAACTTCTAAAACCAAGTGTGGGGATTTAAGAAATAACCCAGCACTTTTTATTTGCACTTTGACATCTGTTTGTGCTGAAATCCATAACTACAAGACAGCGGTGATGGATCCCTAAGGCTCAGTGAAAGTTTTTAAATGGCCAGCTGTGTTTTGAGTTTTTGAGCTTCAGTGGTTTAGTCAAACTGACAGGAAACATGAATGTGTCTGCACTGTTCAGAAATGTTCCTAACTCTCCCAGCAGAGCAGCGTGGGCTCCAGTCTTCAAATAAACCATCTTCTCAGTCAGTGAGGGTTTGTGTCTGCTGTTGCTTTCCTGTGCAGTCGATCAAATCAGTCTGCTAAACCAGGTTTTTGCTTTCCTAGAGATCTGCTTTGCAGTATGTGGGACAGTGTCACCCGCAGGCAGCAGATGGGTATCTCTAGTGTCATTATTTTTGGGTGATGTATCACATTTTTCTAGGCAGCCGTCTTACTGTTGGTGCTCTGGAGCAGGTTGCTGAAACAGAATCTGATTCATGGACTTAGTACCACTTGATTTGACAGGAATTCTACAAAAAAATAAAAGAAAAGTTTTCAAATTTCTTCACCTTTTTTACATTTCGTTAAGTTACAAAATGTAGCTTCACAAAATGTCAAGTTACTTTTGTCACTTGTTACATTTATGTCATATATGGATAGATAAAGTAACAATATTTAAATTACTTGGATACTGTAAATATACTGTAGACAGATGAAATTAATATATTTTACTTTATGGATAGATCTGATCAACCAGAGGAACACATAGTAGAGCATAAGTTTGGGTCAGAATTAAATTATTATCTTACTAAATATGTGAAAATATGTGGAAAGGTGTGTTTTATTTTAGCATAAAATAAAAAGTTTAACTATTTACCCCAGAATACATCTAATTAGTAAATAGCCTGTGTTTCCATCATTTAACTGCAATAAAAATACAACTGTTTTGAGAAGATTTTAGGCATCAAATGGCCATCATGGCTGTCACTGTTTAGGTGTCATTGTTAGACTAACACAATAAAAAAGAGAATGCATCTCCAACTTAATATTTATTTATTTATTTATTACAAGTAAGTTTTGTCAAACTTACTTCATTTATGTTTCTTTAACTTGACAACATAAATTCTCTTGGATAAACCTAATTTGATGACTTGTGACCAATTAACAAGCAATATATTCAAGTTGGATCATCTGTTTTCTTTGTTCAGTGTAGAAAAATCTGTGTGTTAACCATGCACTCTATAAATCTTACCTTTATGGGAGAATTTAAAAAGTCCTTGAAGGCTCTTATTGGACAAAACCCATAAGAAGTCCTATTTACCACAAGCAAGATGTGTATTTAGTCAAATAAGAACAAAATTAAACAGTTTGGCCTTTCTGTGAAACATAATTTTTAGTGAAGCATTAGAGGTGTGCGATTCTGCATTTTGTTATGAATCTGATGAGTAAATAACAGGAGCTGATGCTGATCATTATGATTATTTAAGTATCATCAAACTTCTGATCTTTTTGCATTTCTCTGGTTTCCCTTTTGAATTATTTTTGGTAAAAACCTTGGACAGAATTTAGCTAAAGTTCATGTGTATAAACACACTAATAGCATGTTCTCATAAACAGAAACAATAGAATCACAATGCAATCTTTTTGGATGTATAAACCCTGAAGACTTACCTTGACTTGTACCTTCTTATAATCACATCTCTCAATTTTCTGTCTCCTCCTCTGTGTGTTTCAGGTGGTCAGAGCTCGTCTGGAGGAGAAGGGCGTGGCTGTGCGTGACGTGAAGCTGAACGGCTCTGCAGCCAGCCACGTGCTTCACCAGGACAACGGCCTCGGCTACAAAGACCTGGACCTAATATTTGGCCTCCGTCTTTCTGATGATAAGACATTTCGCCTGGTGAAGGACGTGGTGCTGGACTGCCTGGTGGACTTCCTGCCTGAAGGCGTGTGCAGGGAGAGAATCACGGCCCTGGCCCTGAAGGAGGCGTACGTGCAAAAACTCGTGAAAGTTTGCAACGACACAGATCGCTGGAGCCTCATCTCACTGTCCAACAACACTGGCAAGAATGTGGAGCTAAAGTTCGTCGACTCCCTGAGGAGGCAGTTCGAGTTCAGTGTGGACTCCTTCCAGATCTCGCTGGACTCGTTACTGCTGTTCGACCGTTGCTCAGAGACGGCAATGTCCGAGACCTTCCACCCTAGCGTGCAGGGTGAGAGCATGTACGGAGACTTTGAGGAAGCCCTGGAACACCTCCGCTCCAGAACTATCGCCACCCGAAACCCCGAAGAGATCCGGGGCGGCGGCCTGCTCAAGTACTGCCACCTGCTGGTGCGCAGCTTCCGTCCGTCTTCGGAGAGCCACATGAAGCAGATGCAGCGCTACATGTGCTCACGCTTCTTCATCGACTTTCCCGACATAGCAGAGCAGCAGTGGAAGCTGGAGGCGTATCTCCAGAACCACTTTGTGGGAATCGAGCACAAGCGCTACGAGTACCTGCTGACGCTGAGGCAGGTGGTGGACGAAAGCACTGTGTGTCTGATGGGCCACGAGCGGCGCCAGACGCTGGCTCTAATATCCGCCCTGGCTCTGCGTGTCATGGCCGAACAAAATGCCATCCCCGCCCTGTCCAACATCACCTGCTACTACCAGCCTGCTCCCTACGTCAGAGACGTCAACTTCAGCAACTACTACGTGGCACAGGTTCAGTCCATGTCCGTGCGCAGTAACTCTTACCAGACATGGCTGCCTTGCAGCTGAGGACCATCTTTAGGAATATGTGGACATATTTTTGTTTGACCTTTAAGTTGTTATTAGGTGAGCATGTTTTGTTGTTTTGATTTCTCCGCTGCCTCCACAACAGGTGTTGGTGTTGCATTCTGGCTCTGGCTCTGCTGGATCAACTGGGATTCTGGATGGTACGGGTCACACAATGCACAGGCCCAGTGGATGTAAAATATCACCAACTAGTACTAAACTAATGAGTCAGGCTGAAGCTTGGACCAGCCTGAGGTTCTTGCAATATAACGTGGCGTAATATTAAGCTATTTATACAGAAATGAAACAAACAATCTGAAGTGATTACTTCAGATAATAGCCAGATAATATATTAGTTATGACATCTGTTGTAGCGTTATCTATAACTCGTGTTTTTATTTTGATTCATAGACTTAAGAAGATATATGAAGTAAACTCCCAAAACATTTAGTACAAGTTTAGGGGCAAATATGGTTATTGGAAATAATCCTGTGTCTTTCTGCTATTCTGATATTGTATTAAACTGATATTCGCTGGTCAGGCCCATCCATCCATACCACCATACATCCGTCCGTTTGCCATTGCAGGGTGGTGAGGGATCTGGTGTCTGTCTCCAGTGACCTTTGAGTGACAGACTGGGTACACCCAACACAGAACGCCAGTCCATCTCAGGACTAGTCATGTAATACCATTGTCTTAATAAGAGTGATGGGTTGTGCTTCTTTGTTTTCTTTATATTTGTGACAAAAAACAAACAGATTTGCCTTCCTAGTACATGTTAGGATCCTGTAGGATCCTACAGGATCTACAGGCTGAGTGTGCCCAACTTGAACAAGTAGAAGCCATGGCTATACTAGCAAAAACAACTCGGGAAAACAATCGGAGTCGCTCCGTCCAATACTCCGGTCCGTCATTTCCGATGTCCGTCATAGTGCCTCAACATGATTAGGTAGCGTAGCTGCAACCAACAGAAGCAGCTGAAATGAGTTTTCAGATCTGTCGTCCAGGGGCAGCCCTGGTGTCTGGTGGGCCTTTAACCCTCGTGGTTCAGCTCTACCTGAACCACCTCAGGTAGAGCTTAGGTGGTTCAGACATCTGATATTTCCTCTTTTACTGTTCCGTATTTCTTGTTCGACAACCTTGAGTGACTTGAAAGGCACCTTCAAATAAAATGCATTATTAGTATGATAAGGCCTTTGGAGGCTTTGCAGGTATGACCCATCAGAAGGACAGTTCAGGAAGGCCCAGAACTCACTGGAATATCCTGGTCTGTTTTGGGAACGCCTTGGGAACCTCCAGAATGAGCTGGAGGAAGTCGGAGAGGAATGTCTGGCTGACCCTTCCTGGACATTTTGTCCTTTAGACTCGAGCTAGGGGTGAACCAAAGACACTGGATGTACGGATGGAACATGAAAGCTCATTGAGCTTTGTAGCAACGATTCCACCTCATGTCATTTACGAAGCATTCCTTGTGAACGCGTCATTTATTTGTTATTCTCATTCTGCCAGCGAACAGAACGTGGGAAGTAATTGTTTGGGTTCATCTAGTCAACATACTGGTCGGGGTCCAGAGCCGTGGGTGAGCCAGAATGCAGTCCGCCCTGTGGTGGAGGAGGGAACGTGACACTGTGGAGACTACAGACATTTGTGTAGACAGTACCTCTGCAGCAATTTGGTTTTGGCTAAAAATTCACATCTCAAGACCCAATTTGGACAAAAATCCTGCTTTTGTTTTCCTTTTTAATGCCAAATTGTTTTGTAAATCCAAAAACCTAAGTTATTTTGATTAAACTGCTGTATAAAAAGATGAGGGTGTGGGTAAAATGAAACCTATAATCAATGTGTTTTTTGCTCTGTTGACGGCCTTTAACCCTCGTGGAAGTGCCGGGGAAAAATACAAAGGGTTCATATGTGAGAGGAACGTTGCTACTTCGGTTTGTTTTTTGATTAGAGGCTTGGCGGAAATGTAAATAGTTGGAAGTGAGTCTGAAAGCAGTTTTGTGCGTGTTGTTCTCTCTGTGGTTTCAGCTGAACTGACTGGGAGGAGAGAGGAGGCAAAAGAAGTACTCTCTTGTGTAGCACCAGAAATAAAGACTGTAAATGGTTCCAAGTGCCTAAATATTATCTTCTTTTAATTAGTTGCTATGTAAGATTTATGTTTTAACCTTTTGTTTCAGGGTTTTGTTTCCTTTGAGTTTTTTTCATTAAAACACCTCAACAGCTGGAAGACGAGTGTGTTTTGGTCTTTCTTTTCATCCACCCTCACACCAACAGAACCAAAAATAAATGAACTCATATTAATCTGTAAAAGTGATTTCATTTTTTTTTTACAAACTATTCTGGAGATCACCACATTTTTATTGGAAATGTTTGTGTATTTAGGATGGTTAAAAATGTCTCACTAACAGGGTTACCATGCATAAAGATGATTCATATTATTGACTTTTTTTTTTTCAAACAGTTTCAGACAGATCTCTAGTAGCCGTCTGTATCGCAGTGAATCTGGGAAAAACCTCTGACTGAAGGCACAGTCTGTTGTATAACAGTGATGATGGAGATGATGTGCAGAGTTGTCATTACTTTAATGATCCATTTGAGGGTTTAGTTAAAGCACACGGTGCTAGTTAACTCCACAAGTTTACCTTTGTGAATGCAGAAAAAAAACAAAAACATGGGGTTCAAAACACAAGTTTACTTTTGTTTATTATGCTTTTTGGGGCATAACAAGGGAACTTTCCTCCTAGATGATAAAATATCTTCCTTACTTGACCAGTTTCTCGTTGGTTTAATGTGAACTTTTTGCTCACGAAGCCTCACAGTTTCCAGAGAAGATGCAGAGAAGCTCTGGTCTGCAGGAACTCTTGCGTCTGAATGTCGATTCATTTTAGAAAAGCGGATTTCAGAGTGATTGAGGAGCAGTTTATGAATCTGACGAGAGACTTGCCTCTGTGGAGTAACTGTCAATCGGACCTGCAGCCGTGACATCCGGTGAACAGAACCAGCCCTGGAGAGTCGCTCTAAAGCAAACATGTACTGACAACATGCAGCCTCAAAGGAACTCGCTCTGCTCTGAACAGACCGCCGTCTCCTCTGGCAAGTTTAATGAATCAGAGATTGTTATGTTATATATATAACATTTATTTTATAATATATATATTTTTTTTTGGTACTTATTTGGCACTTGGTACATATGAAAGGACGAAACACCCAGGTTTTATGAAATCTGGTTTATTTGAATATGTGAATATGTCCAAAAGTCAATCAAGGAACTTGAATAAACAAAAATACTTCAAATGAAATTAGAAAACCTTCAGTCCTTAAGTTCAGTTGCTATGCAGCAACAAAAGAGCAATTATAAGTCTTTGTATATTAGTAACTAACCCTCTGCTTTAACAAGATGGCTGTTAAATGCTCATAAAGCCAAAATAAAATTTGCACTTGGGAGAGAGTTAATAATTTTCTGTGACAAGCCCTAACGCTCTCTTTTGTTACATCTGCCAGTTTAAGTGCAGCCCTATAGCTCGTTTATTGGAGACATTGTTAAGCATTTTAAAGGCGTGTGGTTTGTGCAACATTTAAACAGCCCTTAAGTAAGTTGTTTGACAAACAGTTTTATTTCACTTGCACAAACAACTGCTTTCTCCACAAGCAGCTAAAAGGTTGCTGAGTCATGTGGCTCACATTTTCAGACACTACCCAGTGGTGTAGTTGTTTATGTATTTTTTTATTTCACAAATGTTCACCAGCAATAAATAAAAATAAAAAAAACAGCTGGATTGTAAAGTACAGATGTGTAGTCAAAGTATTTTTACACAAACAATATCTTGATTCATTTTCTTTTGAATTATTTTCTCTTATGAGCAGGTGGTTTTAAACTGGAATAGACACAATAAAGCCATGTTGATCAAAGTGTCGCCGTGAATAAACAACTGTATTTATGTTAAAACGGCACATTGGACATGTTGAGAAGAAAAGCACTGATGATGCATGAAAAGAAAAGAAACAAAAATATGTACATAAATAAATAAATAAACAAACACTGTGATTAAGTCTAAAATTAAAGAGGGGTCTGCAAAACTCACTTTTGATTTTTATAGTCCACTTCCACTTATCGGAGACCTACTTTGGTTATTAGCTTGGATCTATGTAGAAACAAGCTAATCTAGCTAGGAACCAAATGTTTTGTTAGGTAGCTAAATACTGAGGTCCAGAATATTTAGTTTGGAAATTAAATGTTTATTGAAAAAAACGCAAATATTTACTTTAGAAGTAACGTTTAACCAGTGGTGGTTTCTGAAATGTGCGATATGGGCAACCTCCCAGGGCGGCACCCTGTGAGGGTCAGGGAGCGGCATAAGCGCCAACCCTCCAGGAAAGGTTGTTCGCCCAGGGCGGAAAACAAGATAGGAGTTCAACTAAGTTAGTCTATTTTTAGTTTGCAAATAAAAAATTTTGTTTTTTTAGTTTTTGAACTAAAAATTTATCTCAGACTTAAACATTTAGAAGGGAGCTAAATATTTAGTTTGGAAGTTAAAAACTTAGCTTCCTAACTAAATTGTTAATTTGTATTAATGAATGAATGAATATACTTTATTAAATTCACATTCATAAGAATACCATGGTGAAAATATGACTTTGAAAAATGAACACCCTTTTGGATTTTTCTCTATGACAGGCTGAATAATCCAAAATATTGCTGACAATTGCTGCAAAAGACACCCCATAGATTTCAACGTAGATTTTGAGGCATTTCCCGTGGCAACCATTCAGGTGTACAAAACGGTTGGAGGGACCAAGCACAGCCTTCTAAGACAAAGCCCCTCCTCTGAGTTCCAGTTTCCAAACATCCACCTCTCAGAGCAGCCCTCACTCATGACTCCTCCACTCAGCTCCTTCAGACTAGCCAACAGCAATTAGCAAACTCCTGGTGGAACTGCACATCAGCTGAGCTCATCATAGAAGCTACTTCTCAGTGAAACATTGGTAAAAATCTTGTTAAAGGTTAACAGAGGAGCCATGTTGTGATGACTTACTGAAGGCAGAGTTTCAGAAAGCAAAGATTTTTAAAGAGAGACATCAAATTTCAAGGCGTTAAATAAGAAAGTCAAATTTCTTTTAAGTAATTTTTAATGCATATTGCATTTTTATAACAACAAAAGCCAGCATAATTACTTGGTTGTGTTATAAAATGGAACTATGTGCCTGAAAAGTAATAATAACAACACTGCCCCTTTAAAGCAGTAGGAATAATAGAGATTTCTTAGCTACGTCCTCCACTGCATGCTTAAATTTTCCTCCAGTCTGTTCCACAGCACCCATTTTGTCCAGGCATCGTGGGTGGGCCCCAGTGGGCCGAGCTCCCACCATGGCAACCGTAGCTTGTAAGATCCAGGTTATCATTCTTTCCTCCCTTCTGTCAGCCTGCTGTGAAGATTAATCTTTATCTAAAGACTGCAGAGAGAAAATGTGGTTCGACATGCGGTAGGTTCGCATGCCGGCTCGGAATGTCTCCTTTAGCGGTGACAAACACCTCCCCCGGGAGGGAGGATGACAGGAAGGGTCAGCACAGGCAGGCGGTCAGGAGCCGTCCCCAGTGTACACACGGCTCACTGTTGTGAAATCTTCCAGCTGAGGATGTGAGCCGCCTGGAGACTGTAAACGCAAAACAAGATTCTACACGGACGGCTAAGTCGTCTCAAACAAACATGGAGGCAGCGGCCTCGAAAAGCGGAGGTCCAATGAGTGTTTGTCATAGGAGCGACGGCGGAGGCGGAGGCGGTTGGGGCAAATTACAGGGAGGAGGGCACACCAACCAATTTTTTTTATATCAAAGATAGCGGCAGGAGCAGCGCTTTCCCAGTTTCACTGATTCCTGTCCAAACTAGGCTCCGCGGGATCACCACATACACAAAAGCGTCCCGTGTCGAGATAAACTCGAAACAAATAAAATTGGTCCAGTCAACAATGATGGAATCAAATTCATACTAATTTCGGTCTTTACGGTGCGAGGACAGAGGAAGTGGTGCAGCAGCTTTCCTCATAAAGCCATTTTTACTGGAGTGAGTGGCGCGGCTCCTGCCATCATCATGCACTTAGCAGGCCATTCCCAGGAACTAAATGAAATGTCTATTCGTGGCGCTCGTGGATATTCGGAGCGGCCTCGCCACGGTGATGTTTATTTGGCCTCCTGAAATGCAAAAGCGGCAGTAAAAAGACAACAATGCTTCCAACCTCGGCTTCAGCCGCTTCAGAATAGTTGCTGGGGATTTTCCTGCGTCAGAATAGCACAGGACGCTGCGAATGCAATCACTGCACAACAAGCCGGGCCATGCCCGGAGCTCAGCCCGGAGCTCAACCCGGAGCTCAACCCGGAGACCAGCCGGGAGGAAGTCGCTTCAGAAGGCCAGAAACCTCTGTGCCCGTGCACGGATCTCCGGGTCCAACTCTCATCTGGATGGTTTAAGTTGGTCTTTGTTTTGTTTTTACTCAACCTGGAAGCAACTCTGGCAACTCTGGTTGCTTAATTGTAAAGCTGAGACGGCATTAGCGGCTAATAAGGCGCGACTGGCGATCAGAGATAAACAGATCAGTTTGTGAGTCACCATTTATTTTATAATGCACACAAAGTCTTTAAAGGGGGCCGTACGGTATTATCTATGGCTTTGTGAATAACTTTTATTCTTGGGAAAAATCTTGGAGTTCCAGAAATTATAAGAATTATAAGAATTTTCCTGTTGTCACTTTTAGTCTCAGGATTCTTTAGGAATACGGGCTCTGGTTATTTCAGTTTCATTTTGTGATTTAACATATTTATTTGTTTTCCAGTTGAATTGTAAAGGGTAAATATAACATTTTCTGTTGAACATTTTTGCAATCCATCACAAACGATTAATTTCTTACATAAAAACAAGTATAAAAACAGCATACTGCATTTTAGAGAACAGTATGCTGTGCAAGTCTAGAGGTTAAAGCTAAATATAAATGAATTCACATAAACTGTTGTTAAACTTAAACTCAGGGGAAAATATACTGGGTCCAGAAACAAATAAAGGTGTTTTCATAAAAATAGGTAACATACAAGCTGCTAATAAGCCTCAACAGAATTCCACAACAAAAACCAAAAACTTTCCTGTGAGGATATGAGGTCACGGCATCGTTCTGCGGTTAATGACGACAGGCTGACAGTAATAAAACCTCATTTGTTTTTGAGAAAAAGGAAACAACT